GCCTCCATTCCTCACTTGGTTAGCATTGGGTTAGGATTAGGTGGGTTAGGTGGTAAATCAGCCATGATCTCCTCTTTAATAAGTTCACTCTCGCTACTAGATAGGCTAGATTCCACAGAGATGTTTTCTTGTTCGACCACTATTTCACTTGTCCCCTCAACTCTTTTCTTTCTTTATATCTCTCTGAGTCTTCTCTCAATCTCAGGGTTAAAGGGTACAAGCTTTGTTTTTCGTGGCATGCAAGAACAAAGTCACAGATAAAAAGCAGACAAAAAAAATGACTTACAGCACACAAAGTCAGCTAAAAGTATGAATTGTGATGGATGCAAGTGTATGTATGAGTATGAGTGTGTATGCACAGAAGGAAGAGCAAAAAGTTCAAGTTTCAAAACTTTTTCCTGAAGTGTTCACTGTGACAAAAGCAGAAGTATGCTACAACAAAAGTAGGCCGAGACGGTCTATGAATTGAATGCAGAAGGATTACCGCGGTGAAAGCAGAAGTATGCTGTCAGATCCAGTACTATGATAATTAGGAATAAGAATTATCCAGAGCATGGGCCTAACCTTTTAGGGGTTACTGTTGAGGATTTAATGAACCTTCCTAGACCCAGTAACCCGGTGGATCCTACAATTGATATGTATCAGGAACCAGTGGATCTGGTTTTGACATTCAATCTCACGAACAGCTTGTTAGCCCAAGTGTGCACCCAAGTGACATCCCCGAATCCACTACCAAGCCAAGGATACCCCCGACACCCACAGTACCTATCCCTGTTCTAACTGAGCCTAAGATCCGTAGTCAGATCAGCTGAGAAAGAAGTTGGAATTCTTGGCTCGACATATCAGGAAAGATGAGGATGAGCAAGACCCGAACATCTACCTAGAATACCTCCAAGGAGTAAAGGTGTTATATTAGACTCAAGGATTGGGTAACCCTTATCTAGACACCAAGGACTGGATCTTTACGATGATGGACATGCTTCCATATTTACCCTTCTGGGTATATGAGTTCTGTCGCCTAAATCAGATAGTGTATTTAGGTGTCGAGGATTACATCCAGCACCTTGAAAACTTTGTTGAGATTTACTATTTTTAGATGGTTAAATCCTCGTAAAACTGAGGTAGGACTTGTTGCAGCTAACCGTAGTAGGTTAGTCGGGCATGCTTAATTGCTATGTATGTCCCTAAAATGGCTATGTATGTTGAACTATATCACTATGACTGATGATTAATGCTTGAATGATGTATTATGAATGCATATGTTGTCAGATAAAATCCAAGCATGATGTTTATTTCTTGTTCCTCGGTTATGCTATCTGTTTAGTTAGCGTATTAGTTAGAATTGATGAAATGCTTTGTCGGAGATCCTCAGGACACAACGTAAAGGTCCCTCCCGATTTGCTATGATTAATTTTGATCGCTTAGAATCGCAATAAGAAGCTATTGAGGGGATGAGGGCGGCACAAGCTAGCCAGGAACAAGAAAAAGACACTGTAATAGTAGTGGCAGTAGCAGGGGTAGTGGCTAACCCCGACAGGAGGTAGCCAGAGGAAGAAAGCTCAGCAGCGTAAGCAACGAAACAATTGCCTAGACCAGCAATGCCAGTAGTAGACCCCAACAATATCCAGTAGCAGATGACTCACTTTTGCAAGCACAATCCGCCATCCTTTAATGGAGTGATTGATGTCCATGCAGTAGAGATATGGATTAATCGCTTAGAAAAGATTTTCAAAGTTCTGGACTGTTCAACTAAACGGAAAGCCCAAATGGCTATTTACCAGCTAGAAAAGGACACTGATCAATAGTAGGAAGAATATCAAGATTCTTCTAGATGCTCAGAACACAAGAGTAACATAGGAAGTGTTCCTAGAGCAGTTTTATGAAAAGTATTCCTGAGGTTAGTCAGGGATGAAAGGGAAGTGAAATTCCTAACCCTGAAGCAGAAGGCTAACGAGTCATTTGATAAGTACTTAGCTAAGTTCAAACATCTTTCTCACTACTTCAGTTACCTGTGTTACCGAGATGATGAAAGGTAGATGACCAAAAAGATGGTTAGAGGACTAAATCAGTCCTTAAGGGAGATAATTGCTCCCAGGTAGTTCAAGCACTTCGATATGGCAGTTGAGGCCTGCCGAATTATGGAGAATAGCTTGAACCATCATTTGATGATTGAGCCTATTCCCAAGTTCGAGAAGGGAGATTAAGGTGACACCTCTTATGATACGAATAGGAAGAGGAAGAGGCCATGGGGTAACTAAAAGAGTAAAAAAGGAGGTAAGCCCTCAAATGGCAAGGAATGCCAACTTGTAGTAAGAGTCAGAGTAATAGACCATGTATGGCCAGACAGAGTGTCTGCTACAATTATAGTAAGCCTGGACACTTCTCAAGATAATGCCCATAGAATACAGAGAAGGCAAAGTCACGTACCCGAGGACGAGTATTTGTCATCACAGGGAAGAAGCCTGGAAGTCTCTGGAAATGATCCAAGGAACGATCATTTTTAATAACTCCCCAGTGATTGCAATGTTTAATTAGGGTGCTAGTCATTCTTTTATTTTGCATGCCTGAGCTAAAAGACTTAGCTTGATGATTAATACGTTGCCTTATGACATGCATGTGTCCACACCAACACAACAGAGGACAGTTACATCTAATGGGTGCTTAAACTGTGTAGTGGGTTATGAGCACTGTTATATTGCCTTAGATTTGATATGTAGGCCTTCCATGAAGTTGATGTGGTGATGAGATTGCATTAGTTGTCGTCCCATAATGGCAAGGACAAAACCATAATCCTACCCTCAAGAGAAATGGAGTAAATCTGGAAGTAAAGTTAAACTTCGTAACGAATGCCTAGATATGCAATGGTATAATGAATGAAGCTAGGTAAGACTAGCAGAGGTTAAGAGAAAACTGTGTTTTGTCATAATAAACCAAGAGAGTTAGTGGCAATGAACAAATACGGAAGTGATTACCAGAAGAGGTGGTAACTTTCGTTGCTGCAAACAGGGATTCTAGTCACGACGAACAAACACAATAACTCTTAGATGTTGAGGTGGTATCTCAACAAGACATAATGACTTTTAGAGGTCGCAGGGATTAAGATAAGTAGAAGTTAGGAAGAGAGCAGTAGCCACTATTTAGAGTTACCAGATTCCCCCTCAAAAAGAAAAGTAATGATAATGAGTTAAATAAGACAGTTAGGGGTTGAGTCTCTACACCATTAAGAAGGTGTAAGTGGCAACCTAAGCTAGATAAACTGTTACAGCCTCGTTAGGGCTAAGGCACCATGATAGAGTAGCTATCTCAAGTCCCAGAATAGATGAATAGGAACTTTGAGATAGTGAGGTTAAGATGGAGAGCCCTAGTGAAATGTCTTAAGGATCAAGAAGAAGAGGATGAGACAAATAGCTATGCAGGGAACTAGCTTAGAGGTTGGCATGTTCCCCTTAATGTTAAAGAGATACTTAGTCGCTTGGAGTTTAGGTTGAGAGGCACCCTTTTTCAAGGGATAAGGTCTTGGCTAGGAATTTTCCTAGAGAGGGTGGAAATTGGTCCTCCGGATTAGAATTTATGTTGCTCAAGATGGAGCAAGATACCCTATTTGAGCAGGAAAGAGAAGCGGCCGAGGCAGGGCAAGCGGAGTTGACCTTACCCAATGGAAGTATGACTAGCCAAGAATGAAGCTAGGTGACGAGAGCCTTTTTCTTGTTCGCTTTGAGGTTCTTAATCAAAAATAAATCCAAGCTATGCAGTAAAGTGCAAACTCAGGTCGTTTCACGCTTGGGAGCCTTAATTTATTACCTAAGTTAGACTAAATGCCATGCAATGTAATGAAAAGGGGTTTTTGGGTTTTCAACATTTAAACGAATGGTGCCTAAACTGAATGCAATGAAAATAAACCTAAGATACTATGTTTTTAGTGTTTTAAGATAATAATGATGTAATGGAAATGATTGATAGGAAATCTCTTGAAAATGGTTTTGATGGCAATCATAGTTTACTTAAAATATTGGGAGGTTCACAAATCCATTAGGTTTTCTTAATAACAACCTCAATAACTCATTGAGTCCAAAGCTTACATTAATGAACTCATTAATGAAAATTTTGTTAAGCTTCCCTAATGTGTAATTTTGGAATAATCATGCAATTGGCTCAATGTAACACACAATCAACTCAGTATCAAAACATAACCATGCAAGAGAGGAGAGAATCATGAGAGTTACAAGAAGCATATATGCAACTACATATATTTAAGCACAAAATTCAACATCAATCAATCCAAATTACAAATGTTAATCATTAACCAATGATTACAGAATTAACCAAAGTGTCTAACTAAGACTTTACAACTCCTAAACCTAGGAAATCATAAACACATAGCTAGAAACTAAAGATTAAAACTAAAACTCCCCTTTGAAGCTTGGAAACTCATGCTACTTGAAACATCCTACCTTTAACCCCTCAGAGTACGCATTTGTAAGCATTATGGTTCAAGCAGGTCAAAGTACAAGCCCATGGATTAAAATTTTCAACATAATTACTCGGGTTACTTTTCATTGTTTAAACTCCAAATTTCAGGTCCAACTTTGAAAAATCATAACTAATTCTACAAAAATCAGAATAGAGCGATTCCAATTTTCGCTTAAAGCTCTTTTAATCTTCTACAAGAGAAAAATAACTTTCAGGGCTCAAACCTTGCCAATTAGCACAGTTTATTCGTTAAATATTACTGTTCAAGTGGTCAAAACAGTACTTTCCAGAAATCCTGTCTTGACTTTGAATAGCCATATCTCTTAGCATACACATCCATTTTTCATGATTTACCACTTATTTTAAAGCTTAGGATGTTTCCTGTATAGACACTAAATTTCATGGCTAAATTCATTCATTTGGTCTGCCTCATCATTGGCACCAATTCATGACTCATTTAGGGACATTCTATCCCTTCAACTTAATTCAATCTTTATAAACAATTTATTTCTCCACCTCTTGTAATGCTATAAATCCACATAATATCTCCATACATAATCTCATACCATTTTAGATATCATGACATTTAATATCATCATTCCACATACATGGCATATCAAACATAAATTGATAAACTATGTTACATAACATGTTATAAGACCATAACATGTTCTTGACTCCTTCCATCAATCCTGCATTCCTCATCCTTGACTTTTCCTCCATGCCCTTTATACCTATTAGGGGTTATTAGGGGAGGGTGAGATTTGGGAGAATCTCAGTAGCAAACACTACCCATAAGCATGGAAGACATAATGCAAATGCACGACATGTTATCATAACATCATCATAGGAATGCCATGGAAAGTAAGCTAAAGCATTTCATGCTTTCATAACATATTGTCAAGGCAAAACATAACATAAACTTGCAAACATAACTTTGCAAACATTTCATCATAGCTTAGTCACATCATGCAAGCATACATATCAAGCACACAGTATAGGTAAGTTCACTACCTTGTAACATATCTTCCCTCTTGCTTTCCGTTTGCTTCCCCTAACCTTCCAAGTATTTGAGCCTTCGGTTGACATAAACAAGACATCCCCTTGGATGTTCCAAGGTCCTAAACACATCAACACATTATGCGAAACATCAATTAGGACTGAGTTATCAACCTATTCCACACTTGGCTCTTACTTGATCACACTTTGTTTCTAACTTTTGAGATTTATTTCCAATCATTCTAAAATTAATTCCACATGCTATTCCCAGATAAGTTTGCATGTAGAATCCATTTCCAAGTTCAAAACAATCAAAATCCAACTCCTTCCCCCTTGTTCTGGTTTGGCCGAAACATAGGTGCCTTAGGTCTAAAATTTTCATTTTCAATTCTAATGCTTCCAAACATGTTTTCTAAATATATCCCTACACAAAATCATCATTTAAACTCATTGGAAGCATCAAAATCATCAAATTCCAGACCCAACATAAAGAACCAGCCATGGCAAAATCATACACAAATGAAAGGGGAAGTTGGATTTCTTGAAGAATCAATATCAAACCAATTGATTCTTGTTGTTTTCAAGCCTTTAAACATGTTTATGACTTTAATTTCATCTTCTCCCATTCTGAACAATTTCGTGCAGCACCTCCCCCTAGGTTTCAACCATGAAAAACCCAACCAATCCAACATTTAAGCTCAAAAATACCAAGGGAGGTAGAAACTAGATCAAAATCCATGAACATGCCTTGATTTGAAGCTTGGATGGCCTTAGGATCATGAGTTCTTCCTCTTCTCCTTCTTCCTCTCTCCATTTCGTTTTCCCTCTCCTCTCTCTCATGGTGGACGAAAATATCATAAGGGAGGGAGAGAAGATTTTTATAAAAAGTCTTGACAAATCCTAGCCATTGATCTTATTTTGCAAGATTAGATCTTGGCCCTTGATTTTCAAATTAATCCTAGCCCTTGATCTTGGCTTCTTCATCAAGGAATCTTGCTAAATATCTTAGGCTTATGTCATCATGGTTAATTAACTTAACCATGGTTAACTTTCTTAATTACCTTGATTAAACTTCTTAATCACCTTACTTAAAATCCTTTCTTTAATCCTAATATGTCCTTAATCTTTTTACACATTTCCACACATATCCTCATGCCCTTATGGCAATATGATAGGGAGGAAAATCATACAAAATTCGTGCATAAATTCATCCAAAAATATTCCTCCACCTATCTTACCGGTTTACATCATAATAGGTACTTTCTCGGGTCCTGACTTACCTGATACATCTGGGACATGGTTTAGCACATTTTTCATCTTCAAAATACATTCCCATACTCTTCTAATAACATTCATAGGGGAATCATACTTCTTTCTCATTTCCCCAAAATATTAATAATTAATATTCAATCGGAGTCGATTTTGCCGAATTCTTTCCTATCGGCTCGTAACTCTGTTGATCTATCTCTGGGTTTCATTCTTTCCCTTTCATCACAGGATATTTCTCTAATTTTTCTCAGGTCCAAAGTCAAACCATAGACAGGAAATTTGACTTTCCCCGGATAGGGTATAAATAGGCTTTAAATTCAATTAAAGCTAACCTTGTCAGTTTCTGGGGCTGGAATTAATTTTACAATCTGTGTAAATTCCTCAACTACTGTTCCCCAGTTTTTCCTGATTATTTGAGGCCGTCTTGTACCTTAAATAATTCAATTTGAGTTACTATCTCAAATTGCTCAAAAACCTGAAATGACTTTAGGGCATTTCCGTCATTTCTAGCCTTATATTGACTCTGGGATCCTATTCCCATTTTTCTGGAATTTTTCTGAAACATTTGGGCCATTTTCGATAACTTCGAACATTGATCGACCAGAATTTTTATTATTCACAATTAGGTCCCTACTTGGCCTAGGAATCTTTTCGTTGCAATTTAGCCCCTCCTTAGGCCTAACCTTCGGAACCATCTCTTGCAAGTTTTTGGCATAACCTTTGGCCCTTAGTTGTTTCCAATTCGTCATTCTTTAGTCCCCGAACACTATTGTTTTACACATTTGCCCTTGGAAAATCTCTTTTTTCTTCTGAAGGATCTCCGGGACTTTCGTTGCATTAAACTTAGTAATCATCCTTTCCTTGTGCTATTACTTGTATCTATGAGCCAAAATTTGGGATGTTACACTACTCCACCATGTTCAAGAGTTGGAAAAGCCTAGCTCATCATAGCCTTGGAATCAGCTCCAACCAGAGTTAAATCTTCAGCCATAACAGCCAGGAGATGAAGGAAATGAAGGTGGATGAAGAAGAAGTGCAAGAAAATGGAAGGTGAAGGAGATGGAGATGGAGGATTAGGGTTCAGTGGGAAAGATGAGAGGAAATGATGATAGAAAACGTAAGTGGTGGCTACCTCCCTGTGTATGACCTCACCCATACCCAAAATAGGGTTTCTAACCCGAAAATGACGTGTATAGGTCGGTTCCTGGAGGTGGGTAGGTCAGATTTTCCTGAAATGTGCTGATACGTGGGGTTCGCCACGGCGAACCATGGCAGAGGGCTTTCTTATTTGATGGGCGACGTTCACTGCGGCGAAGGAAGAAGTGTGCCGTGGCAAACTATGGCAGAGGCTCCTCTTTGCATCTTGTGCCTTGAGTCTTCAATCTTGGCCCCGATCTCAGGTGTCCTACATTGAAAAGCAACAATTTGAAGCATCAATTGTCCTAGAAATCAATTGAATACAATTAATAACCAATTATAACAATTTTACCCTCAAAAAGACACTAAATCAAAGTAAGGACTCTTAATCAAAATTAAACACAATTATCATTAAAAGGAGCCAAAACCTATGATAAAAACCCTTAAAATGATATGAAATAACATAGAACAATTGGGTTCAATCAAATTCCCCCACACTTAGACCTTTATACTCCTGGACAAAGCTCAGAAATAATTCAAAGAGATACTAGCACAAAGAGAAACACTACCATGCTTAAAGATGAAAGCAGAAGATTAGTAAGAAATTCTTACAGAAGTTGACATTAGTAAACAAGGATATGCTAAGAAAATGAGCACAATGGACAATTAACTCAAAAGATTGACAAGAAAGATCTATCTCACGGATAAGTGTTTCACTCTTAACTCACTTGTTTTGGGGTTATTTCACTCCAAGTCTACTTAATTCAATTTCTACCATAGGCTTGTAATAATTCTACCTCTCCACCACAGGAAGCAAACTTTGCAAATCAAGAGGACTTTTAGGGGTTAGAGAGGCTAGATACAGACCAAAGGTTAAGTTAGAAGCCTCAAAGAGATGGTTTTATGAGGTTGAGCCTAAGCAGGGGTAAAACCGTAAGTTCAAAAAGTTACGGCCATCAGGGGTAAAAATGAAAAGTACTTAGAAAATTCTAAGAAAATCCCAGAAAATGGGAAATAATATTCTAAGGCTTTTTTGTAAAGAGAGATGATGAAAATACCCCTGAAGTAACTTAAAAGGAATTTATAAATTTATGGCTCAATTTGAGATGTAGAGGTAGATTTAATTGTTTGAGTCATAAGGAAACCTTAGAAAATTATGGTAAAATGGGGATGTATGACCTAAGAGACTATAGAAAATTATAAAATTAGTCTCATCCCCAGAAGACCAGCAAAATGGCTTTAAGAATACTTAAAAGCCAGTTGTGCTGAAAAAGGGCATTTTAAAGATTGATTTTTAAGTGGGGCTACAGGTTGAGTTATGACCTGAGAAAATTCACAGATTTTCTCTAGAATATGAGGAATTTTATGATATTTTTGGATGAATTTTTTGAGCTCTGAATTGAATAAAATGCTCCAGCCAAATATTAAATAATTTTGTCCCCTAAATAGGAGACAAAACCAAAGAAAATATCTAAGAGCCATCATGACACTAACGAGTCATCATGTTGAGTCACCAAGCGTAATCATGACACCTACGAGTCATCATGCTAAGTTACCAGAAGATATTTATGGACAACATAAAAATTAGAACGCAGTACGGGAATATTTTAGACAGTCTTTTGTCTACCTGTTATAGTGAAATCTCTACTGCATGACTCAGTAAGGTTAAGTAGCCTGTCAGTAGAGCTAATTATTTTTCCCTCTGCTTCTCTAAGGTGGCACCATATATGTATTTATTAAGATGAGAAAATAGTGTCAGAACATGTCCTAGTGGTACAGGGTAAGTCAGGACTCGAAAAGTATCCGATACGGTGCAAGATTGGCTTGATAAGTGGAGAAATAATTAAGAAAATATTTTTGCACAAATTTTCCATTTATTTTCTCCCTATTTTAATGCCATAAATGATGAAAGGACATGAAAGTGACAAGTGTACGGTTAGATAAGAAAAAGAAAATATTACGTGTACAGCGCTAGATGGAAGACATATGTACGGTCGGATGCAAGACACATGTGCGGTTGGATTAAAGACATGTGGTTTGATGATGTAAGCATGATGTCATCATGATGAGGTAAGCATGATGTCATAGGACACTTGTCACCGTAAGATCAAAAGAGAAAATGGACGGTCCAAATCGAGCCACATATTTTTAAGATCAACGGTCCAGATTCAGTCTGCTTTTCTATAAATACCCCCTCCCCTCCCTGCCATTTCGTCCAAGCATAAGGAATCCATGGGGAAGCTCTTGCAAAATAGTTTCTAGAGAGAGAAAGAAGAGGGAGAAAGAAAGGCCAAGTGGTTCCAAGCTAGATCAAACTTTAAAACAAGGTATGTGATGGTTATAGCACCTGATTTTATGCCTATTTCGGATTAGTTACTGTGTGTATCTGATTCTGAAATTTTGTATGGTTAAAGTGCACTCTGTGATATTTAAACCCATAGGTAGAACACTTCATTTGGATATGTGTACAATTTATGGTGATTTTTTTAAAGTTAGGGTTTGAAATCTGGAAACACTGTTGAACTTTTGGAAGAGTTTTGATTTCCGTACAATTTCGGTGCTGTTCGGCATAGAATTGGTTCCTGAAACTAATTTTCGTGTAAAGTTAACTTAATGACCTTTCAGTGAGACTTGGAACCACTCAATTTATATTTTTTTAGAATTAATTATGAATTTTCAAAGTTAAGCAAAAATTCTGGAAATTTTGCGTGAACAGTACCCGTGAAGCAAAATTTCCAGATTTAGTATTCTTGAATCTACGGCAATCTAAAGTGGTCCTCATTGACAAGAAATAGATCTTAAGGATGGGAAATGATAAGATTTATGTTAGAAAATTTAGAAAGAAAACCCTAAGACTAAGAGAAAGGGTTGAGGTTCAAGAAAGCTAGTCTCGAACTTTATGTAATCTAGTAGTCCTAATGGATTGTATGATCAATGTGACTATGTTTAGGACCTTTGGAACATCCAAGAGGATGTTTGGTGATGTTGACTGAATGCCCACATGGTTGGAAAGACAAGGGAATCAAAGGAAAAGCAAGGGGAAAGCCATGTTACAAGGTAGTGAACTTACCTATACTGTGTGCTTGATATGTATGCTTGCATGATGTGATTGTGTTGCCATTATGTGACTAAGCTATGACAAAATGTTTGCAAAGTTATGTTTGCAAGTTTATGTTATGTTTTGCCTTGGCAATATGTTATGGAAGCATGAAATGCTTTAGCTTACTTTCCATGGCATTCATGTGTTAATGTTATAACATGTCATGCATGTGCATTATGTCTTGCATGCTTATGGGTAGTGTTTGCTACTGAGATTCCCCCGAATCTCACCCCTCCCTAACTAACCATTTAGGTCAATCAATGATGGGCAATAATGGCATGAGAAGCAAGGAGAAGTAAGCGGAGAATTATTCTTGTTAATGGATGAGACTGTTGATAAATGTATAATTCTACTATTTTGTGAACTATGTTATGGATGCCAATGATGCCATGTATTTAATTATAATATTTATGGCATGAATGAAAGTGTAAAAGCATGAACGGGAAAGAGTAAGGCCATGAAACATCCTACCTTTAACCTCTCAAAGTACACATTTGTAAGCATTATGGTTCAAGCAGATCAAAGTATAAGCCCGTGGATTAAAATTTTCAACATAATTACTCGGGTTACTTTTCACTGTTTAAACTACAGATTTCAGGTCCAACTTTGAAGATTCATAACTAATTCTACAAAAAAATCAGAATGGAGCGATTCCAATTTTCACTTAAAGCTCTTTCAATCTTCTACAAGGGAAAAATAACTTTCAGGGCTCAAACCTTGCCAATTAGTACAGTTTATTCGTTAAATATTACTGTTCAAGTGGTCAAAACAGTACTTTCCAGAAATCCTGTCTTGACTTTGAACAGCCATATCTCTTAGCATACACATCCATTTTCTGTGATTTACCACTTATTTTAAAGCTTAGGATGTGTCCTGTATAGACACTAAATTTCATGGCTAAATTCATTCATTTGGTCTGCCTCATCATTGGCACCAATTCGTGACTCATTTAGGGACATTCTATCCCTTCAACTTAATTCAATCTTTATAAACAATTTATTTCTCCACCTCTTGTAATGCTATAAATCCCCATAATATCTTCATACATAACCTTATACCATTTTACATATCATGACATTTAATATCATCATTCCACATACATGGCATATCAAGCATAAATTTATAAACTATGTTACATAACTTAACATGTTATAAGACCATAACATGTTCTTGACTTCTTCCATCAATCCTGCATTCCTCATCCTTGACTTTTCCTCCATGCCCTTTATACCTATTAGGGGTTGTTAAGGGAGGGTGAGATTCGGGAGAATCTCAGTAGTAAACACTACCCATAAGCATGCAAGACATAATGCAAATGCACGACATGTTATCATAACATCATCATAGGAATGCCATGGAAAGTAAGCTAAAGCATTTCATACTTTCATAACATATTGCCAAGGCAAAACATAACATAAACTTGCAAACATAACTTTGCAAACATTTCATCATAGCTTAGTCACATCATGGCAACACAATCACATCATGCAAGCATACATATCAAGCACACAGTATAGGTAAGTTCACTACCTTGTAACATAGCTTCGCTCTTGCTTTCCGTTTGCTTCCCCTAACCTTCCAAATGTTTGAGCCTTTGATTGACATAAACAAGACATTCCCTTGGATGTTCCAAGGTCCTGAACACATCAACACATTACGCGAAACATCAATTAGGACCAAGTTATCAACCTATTCCACACTTGGCTCTTACTTGATCACACTTTGTTTCTAACTTTTGAGATTTATTTCCAATCATTCTAAAATTAATTCCACATGCTATTCCCACATAATTTTGCATGTAGAATCCATTTCCAAGTTCAAAACAATCAAAATCCAACTCCTTCCCCTTTGTTCTGGTTTGGCCGAAACATAGGTGCCTTAGGTCCAAAATTTCCATTTTCAATTCTAATGCTTCCAAACATGTTTTCTACATATATTCCTACACAAAATCATCATTTAAACTCATTGGAAGCATCAAAATTATCAAATTCCAGACCCAACATAAAGAACCAGCCATGGCAGAATCATACACAAATGAAAGCGGAAGTTGGATTTCTTGAAGAATCAATATCAAAACTAATTGATTCCTGTTGTTTTCAAGCCTTTAAACAAGTTTCTAATATCAATATCATCTTCTCCTTACTTAATCAATTTCGTGCAGCACCTCCCTATAGGGTTTAACCATCCAAAAATCCAATCAAACCAACACCTAAGCTCAAAAATACTAAGGGAGCTAGAAACTAGATCAAAATCCATGAACATACCTTGATTTGAAGCTTGGATGACCATGGAATCACTTGAATTTTATCTTCTTCTCCTCCTCCATATGCTGTTCGGTCTCTCCCCCTTGGCTCTCCATTTGGCCGAAAATACCAAGCTTGTGGGGGAAGCGATATATATAGGGAGTTAGGAGAAATCTTAGCCATTGATCTTGAAATTGCATGGCTTAATCTTGGCCATTGATTTTCAAATCAATCTTAGCCCTTGATCTTGTCTTCCTTAGCAAGAATTCTTGGGTCCTGACTTACCCAATACCTCTGGGATATGATTTAGCACATTTTTCATCTTCAAAATACATTCCCATACTCTTCTAATAACATTCATAGGGGAATCATACTTCTTTCTCATTTTCCCAAAATATTAATAATTAATATTCAATCGGAGTCGATTTTGCCGAATTCTTTCCTATCAGCTCGTAACTCTGTTGATCTGTCTCTGGGTTTCATTCTTTCCCTTTCATCACAGGGTATTCCTCTAATTTTTCTCGGGTCCAAAGTCAAACCATAGACAGGAAATTTGACTTTCCCCGGATAGGGTATAAATAGGCTTTAAATTCAATTAAAGCTAACCTTGACAGTTTCTGGGGCTGGAATTAATTTTACAATCTGTGTAAATTCCTCAACTATTGTTTCCCAGATTTTCCTGATTATTTGAGACCATCTTGTACCTTAAATAATTCAATTTGAGTTACTATCTCAAATTGCTCAAAAACCTAAAATGACTTTAGGGCATTTCCATCATTTCTAGCCTTATATTGACTCTGGGATCCTATTCCCATTTTTCTGGAATTTTTATGAAACATTTGGGCCATTTTCGATAACCTCGAACATTGATCGACCAGAATTTTTATTATTCACAATTAGGTCCCTACTTGGCCTAGGATTCTTTTCTTTGCAATTTGGTCCCTCCTTAGGCCTAACCTTCAGAACCATCTCTTACAAGTTTTTGGCATAACCTTTGGCCCTTAGTTGTTTCCAGTTCGTCATTCTTTAGTCCCCAAACACTATTGTTTTACACATTTGCCATTGGAAAATCTTTTTTTCTTCTGAGGGATCTCCGGGACTTTCGTTGCATTGGACTTAGTAATCATCATTTCCTTGTGCTATTACTTGTATCTATGAGCCAAAATTTGGGATGTTACAGGCCATGTTATGTATGCCAAAGAAATAAAAAGAATTAAAGAGATGTTAAGGGATAAAACATAAGTCCTGGAGCAATGAGTTTGTAGCTCTAGTTTGACCTATCAAACGAGTGATTTAGGTCATAAGATTTGGCAAGCAAAGGGATCTGATGTTTCTCTTTAAAATGAGGGGTAGTTTGCCCGATTCCGATAACCGAGTAGAAAGTTATGCCTTTTCAAAGTTAGGCAAAAATACAGTAAAATCCGAAAATGACCAAATGAACAGTAACTTTTTCAAAGGAAATTGAGCTTGAATTTGAGGGCAATCAGTTCAGAAACTATTTTTCCTCAAAATTTTATCCAAAGAGCTTTCTGTAAACTTAAATCACTCAATTTCAATTTTTCTACAATTAGTTATGAATTTTCGAAGTTTGTCACATTTTAAGATGACAATGAATAGTAACTCGTAAATGAAAATTTTCAAACTGGATTTTTCATCAATTGTAGCCTTCAAAAGTGATTCCAAATGCTTCCGCAAGGAAAGTTAATTGATTTAAACATGAGGTGTTGCAAAGGCTCACCGAGAGCCAATGTTTGGAGAAAGGCCCTGCTTCGCCATGGCGAAACATAAGTTGGCCGCGGCGAAGTGTGGCGAAAGCTACATTAACGTGATAAAAAGGGGCTTCGCCGCGGCGAAGGCAAATGTTTGCTGTGGCGAAGGGTGGTAGAAAGTGAAATCCTATGCAATTTTCAACTCTTCAGCAAACCAAGTTCAAAATATTCACAATTCAACCAATTTATCAGTTCAAAAACACCTCAAAATCACATAGATGCATGGATGCATGAGAATTATTTGCTAAAATCCACAATAGGTCCCTCCCCCACACTTAAACACAACATTGTCCTCAATGTTTGAACCAGTATAGGCAAACCAATCACAAAGTGAACCGAAAGTTGTGAAGTCCAATTGAAATTGAAGCACAACACATCGAATTCACAAAAAGGAAGGAGAAGGTGAGAGGTTGCATGCAAAACAAAGAGGAAAAGAAAACAATAGAAGTTGGGACCAAAGTAAGAGTAACAGCAAATGGTAAAGGCCATCAGTAGCCAAAGAGTCGAACATCATCCAATGTAACATCCAAAAAGTTTAAGAAGAAACCAGCTACACCAACAAAAAAGAAACAAAAAGAACAATAAAGAAATCAAAACACAAGCGAAAAACTACTGCTGCGTCCCAAAATCATCTGCCCAGACCCGGATGGTCCTGCACCAGAAGTGCCTACTCAGATGTCCTGGCTCGCTCTGAGGGTCTTCCTCCTCGAGAGGTAGGATGAAGTTCTACCGGTCAGCAATCAGGGCATCCACATGTTGGCGATAACGTCGGTCTCGATCATACAGAGCATCACGGTCCTTCTGCCTCTTCATCTCTCGGAGGAGGGTGACTCGCAACTGGTGGACATGGTCAACCAGCTCATCAATATCATCAGCCAAAGTGTCTAAGGTGACAGGTTCAGGAGCTTCTGGATCTGGCTGGTCTTCTTGAGCTTCAGGAGCTGGTGCATCGGCTGAATGTGCTGCGCCAACATCATACACAGGGTGGATAGGTGGAGGGGGTCCAATGACAGGCTGTTTGAGGCGGTCATATCTAAATAAGGGGGCGGGCTCAAAATAGCTGTCATTGTTGTACTCAGGGACATTAGCAGCCCTAAAGAGGTCAGTGACTAGATGGGGAAAAATGATACTATTGGTGAGTTTAGGGGTGTTGATGGCATCGTGGAGGGCTGAGTAGATGGTGTCGGCTACATCGAAGGAGCGGCCAGTCATGAGAAGGTAAACATAAAGAGCTTGGCGCTTTGGAACATTAGCTAGATGGGTGGTGGGTACGAGGTTGTTACAGACAAAATGCAGCCAGGGGCGAGCCTCAGGTCAGAACTTTGATCGCTTAAGGTATTGCTCGGAAGTACGTGGGTGATGCCAAGTGGCTCCGTCATGACACAGGGTTTAGACCACATCGTCAAATGGGTAATTGTCTCTGTAGGCCGAATAACCTGAATGGCGACTAGGGAGAAGGCGGTAATGGAAGCAGATGTTGTCGGCGGACAAAGACATTGCAGAAGTCGACTACCAAAGAACTATGGAAACGGGCATAGGTGTAAAAGTGACGAACAAAAGCGTCATTACCCGTGGAACGCTCTTGGACCAAATCGGTCAATTGAGAGGCACGGAGCTGGCGGACAAAAGGATGGTCAGGTGGGTCTAAGGGAAAGGGGCGTTCCTTAAGAAGGGGTCTTTGGTCAATCTTTTGATATAGCTCCTCGAAGGTGTATTCTGGAGGGAATTGAAAGACGCGCAACGGAAAATAAATTTAAAATTTTCAATCCCTTGCCCGGATTTACCAATTGTGTTTAAGTCAAGTGGTAAGAAGTATTACCTTCGATGTTCGATTTCTTGGTGGCTCGAGGATTCCGCCGTTCAGGATGCCTCTGCTCGCCTTTTTTATCGCTCGAAGTCGACAACTCAGATCGGCTTCCTCTACCGGTATCCACACGACCAGCGTTCCAATCACGAACGACGTGCTAGCGCCTCTTGTCCTTCTAGGGTTTATTTTCGAAGAATCCGTCATCCCTTCTCTATTTACTGGCCATCTCTTATTTGCAAGCTTTTGCACTCTCACCCTCAAAACCCTAGCTCCTAATATCAAATATATAGGATGCTATAGGTATTACGAAGGATATTTGATTTCGAAATTAATCCTAAATTAATTTCGAAATTAATACAATATCAAATATTGCGTAATCATATAAGAAAACAATTAAATAAATATGGTTTATATTAAATCCATCCCACAGATTTAATTCACCTATTTATTGAAGGGAATTGAAAGACGACGCGCAGCGGAAAAACTTAAAAATTTTAAAACTTTCAATCCCTTGCCCGGATCTACCGATCGCGTTTAAGTCAGGTAGTAAGAAGTATTACCTTCGGTGTTTGGTTTCCGAGTGGCTCGGTGATTCCGCCGTTCAGGATGCCTTGCTCGCCTCCTTTATCGTTCGAAGTCGACAACTCCGGTCGGCTTCCTCTACCGGTATCCACACGAATAGCTCTCCGGTTACAGATGGCTTGCTAGCGCCCTTTTGTCCGTCTAGGGTTTTCAAAGAATCCGTCCACTCTTATCTCTCTTAGGCCGTCTCTTATCTGTTGGTACTCTCACGCTTAAAACCCTAGCTCCTCATATCAAATATATAGGATGCTATAGCTTTAATGAATAATATTTAATTTTGAAATTAACTCTAAATTAATTCCGAAATTAATACAATATCAAATATTGCCTAATCAGATAAGAGAACAATTAAATAAATATGGTTTAAATTAAATCCGTCTCACAGATTTAATTCACCTATTTATTTAATAAAGAGATGACGGAATTAATTTATATATATTTAATTTATCCTTATAAATTAAATCTAACAATTAATATCTCTTATATTTATATAATATATATATATACGAATTTATATATATATATACACGTCTACCCTATATTATTCATTGAATCTGGACATATCTTAGATTCAATGAATCTGGACATCATAACTCGTGTTGGGCTATTTTGTGTGCGACCCTGTAGGCCCATATGAAGTTGGCAGTGGGCCATTAACTATAATGACTCACAAGTCGTAAGCGGTCTCTAGCAAGACATCACGACTACCCAAATCATATGAGGATCGTTGAACGATGTAACCTTTCATACAACCATATCACGTCCCTTTTGTCACACGACATTTTGGTCATGGATGAGGCATGGAGAACTTCATCCTCCTATTCATTACCGTTACTTTCTCGATCCCTGAGTAGTCTGAGTATAGAAACGGAACTACCTTTCCATTATAGTATGGCCATACATTTCTCAGACTCACTCATCGAGGGGCCCAGTAAT